AATCCCAGCACTCGGGAGGCTGAGGCAGGAGGATCACTGTGAGTTCAAGACCAGCCTGGGTTACATAGTGAGTTCCAGGTCAGTCTCAACTACATAGTGAGACCCTGTCTCAAAAAAACAAAACAAAACAAAAAAAACAAGCACAAGGTCTTAAGTTTAATCCACTGGTACTAGAAAAAAAAAAAGTGTAAAATTCATGTTATGCTCAAATTGTTTTAATGTGTCTGATGCACTGAGACATTTGCATTTTCAAAGCAAGAGTTAAAGCTATCCAGAAAAGCCCCACTATGTGTGTGTGTGTGTGTGTGTGTGTGTGTGTGCGCGCGCGCGCGCGTGTAAATACAAAGGTCAATTGCCCTGCTTTAGATTCTACATGAACTATATATTAACAGCCTCATGAGTTAGAGATATTTGTTAGCCTTGGTTTTTTTACAGATGAGAAAAATGCAGCTCAGGGAGGTAAGACTTGACCCAGGTCATAAGGCTAGGACATGCTGACTTTTTTTTTTCCTCATTGAGTTTATTGGTGCATTTTAGGTATACAGTACTGTTACATTCATTATTGGGATCTTGTACCTTTACATGACAGGTCTTGGTTCTTATTTTTTCCCCTTGTCCCTGCCCTCCCTTCACCCCCTCCTCCCCTCCCCATTTACAAACACTTTATTTCCATTGTTTCATTTTCTCCTATTTTTTTCTTTTTCCTTATTACCTTTCCACTACCCTTCCCACTTTCTCTACACCTTTAGCCCTTTTCTTAATTGCAATAACGAATTGAACAGAGCCAGGGAGTTAGCTCTCAGTGGTGCCACCACCTGCCTGGGAAGCCCAAGGACCTGAGTTTGATCCCCGGTACCAACACCCCCCCCCAGCAAAAGAAAATAAACAGCGGGCTGGGGATTTAGCTCAGTGGTTTGGTGGCCTGCCTTGCAAGCTCAAGGACCTGAGTTCAATCCCGGGTACCAAAAACAGCAAGAAAACAAACAGCAAAATAAGAAAGTGAACAAAATAATTGCAAACATATAAGAAAGAGCAAGTATCCATAATATGTGAAAGTTTTTTCTCAAATTAGTAGAGAAACAATAGTAGAAAAATAGAAATCAAGAATAGGCAATTTATAAAGGAAGAAATCCTGATGGTCAGTTAGATTATTTGGTACTTGGTCATGCAAGACAGAACAATTCCATGTCAGGTTTTATCCATAGTCTTTTTTTTTTTTTTTTTTATCCTGGAGATCAAACTCAAGACCTTGCATTTGCCAGGCAGGCAGCAGAACCACTGAGCCAAATCCCTAGGTTTTATCCACTATCAGATAGGCAGAAATAGATTTGAGGAGACATTGGTGGGGACAAAAGCCTATTATAGCCCTCCCAGAGCACATGTCCCTCTCCTTTACCAGCCATCAGACCTCCAGAAATTCATTCTGAGAAGATAACCAGGTAAATGGAAAATGACTTAGTAGTGCTGAGAAATTGAAAGCAGCCATCTTACCAATGCTAAGTAGTTAAATAAATTCTAATGCTCCCAATACAACACAGTTCAGTACTGTGGGGCACATTGAAAGATACTATATTCATAATGATTAACACTGAATGCTCTTCATGTTTTATTAAGCAAGCAGCAGGGTACATTTAGCATGTTAAGTGGGAGTGGTCTTTGAACATATGTGCATACTTGTGTGTTCAAGCAAATGTGTAGGAGCAGGTCTGAAAGAACACATTAAAACATTGACAGTGGATATTCCAGGATAATGGAATTGGTGGATCTTTATTTTTGGTCTCATTTTAACTGTTTTCTAGGCTTTTCTAATACATTTCTCTTATAATTTAAAAAAATTTGAAAACATAGCTGTCTAACAGAAATATACAAATACAAAATAAAAGAATAAATGACCCTTGTAAACCAGCCCCCCACCCCCATCACCTCCACTACCACCAAGGCTAGGTAGCAGTAGCTAACATACCTAGAATTACTGACTCACTGGACTTACCATGTGGTTTGGAGAAATGGGTCCCTCATCTGGGAGCTTTGGAATCTTTATTCCTCACTGGAATTAATCCAAGAAGATTTCAAATTATCTTACTTTCTGAACTTGCTGCAAGACTGAGCTGGAAAGAGTTATTTCTGTTACTTGTAGGTCACAAGCTCCGTAAAGGACATGTGAACTTAGGATCGTTTTGAATGAGGCCAGTGCTGCTTGCTGCATGGATGACAAGCAGAGCCTCTAATTATGGTTGCTTTTTTTTTTTTTTTTTTTTTTTTTTTTTT